GTGGTCAGGCACTGGAACAGCCTGCCCAGGGAGGTGGTGGAATCACCATCCCTGGAGGTATTTAAGAAACGTGTAGACATGGCTCTTCAGGGCATGCTCTAGTGCCCAAGATTATTGGTTTGTGGTGGGATGTTGTGTGGGTGGGTGATGGTTTTGGTTTGGTTGTTGTTGTTGTGTGTTTAGGGGGTGGGTGGTGGTGTTTTCTTTTTTCCTGTGGTTGGACTCAATGATCTCTGAGGTCCCTTCCAACCGCTACGATTCTGTGATTCTGTGGGTGAGGAGGAGTGGGGATGGACCCCCCCAGCAGCTGTGTGGCATCATGCCCTGCTCCTGGAGAGCCATCCCCTGCCGGGGCAGTGGCCTGGGGAGGGACAATGGTCGGAGTCCATGATGAGGGGGTTGAGTGATTGGAGGGGTCACGGCCCATTCCCTTAACCCACCCCGGCCCAGCTATGAAAAATGGAAGCAGAAATACAAGATTGATGAGCGGGATGATGATGATGGAGATGTACAAGGCAAGGAGCGGTTCAGAGGGAAGCACAGGCGCGGGCACGGTGAGTACCTGGAGGAAGGACAGAGCTCCCCCATCATCCCCCCTCACCTCACTTTGCCCTCTGAGCTGAGCTTGGCTGTGTTCCCCCCCCCACTTCCCAGGCGCAGGGCAGCCCCCGGCCCAGGGCAAGGTGCGCTCGGAGCTGAAGAACAAGCAGCAGATCCTGAAGCAGCGCAAGAAGGCGGCCAAGCAGCGCTTCCTGCAGAGCGGGGGGCTGAAGCGCCTGAAGGCCCGGAACCGGCAGCGGGTGCGGGAGCTGCGGCAGATGGCCTTTGGACGGCGGGTGGGGGGCACCAAGAAGGGCAAGATGAGGAAGAAGATGTAAGGGAGGGGGACGTGTCCCCACAGCCGCCCCCGGGCTGGGTGCCGGGGAAGGGGACATTAAATACTCAGCTAGTTTTGCATCCCGGCTCCTCGTTGTCCTTGCCATGAGCATCGTGCCTGGGGTAATTCCTGCCCCCCTCGGGCCACCCCCAGGCAAAGTCCTAAAACAAGGGAGGCTGTGGGTCCACAGCTGGGTTGAGTTTTGGTAGGAGATGCCTTTGGAGATACCAACATAGAATCATAGAATCATTCAGGTTGGAAGAGACCCTTGGGATCATCGAGTCCAACCATCTCCCCTACTCTACAAAGTCCTCCCCTACACCATGTCCCTCAGCACTGCATCTAAACGGCCCTTAAACACAGCCAGGGATGGTGACTCAACCCCCTCCCTGGGCAGCCTGTTCCAATGCCCGACCACTCTTTCTGTGAAAAATTCCTTCCTAATGTTCAGTCTAAACCTCCCCTGTTGGAGCTTGAAGCCGTTCCCTCTCGTTCTGTCGTTAATTACCTGTGAGAAGAGACCAGCACCGACCTCTCTACAGTGTCCTTTCAAGTAGTTGTAGAGAGTGATGAGGTCTCCCCTCAGCCTCCTCTTCCTCATACTGAAGGTGAGCAGCTCCTCCTTCCTCCACCGTCCTGCTCTCTGGGGAGTCCAAGGGCTATTCCTGGCCCGGGGGCACCCTGGCACCCCGCTGGCGCAGTGGCCGGGTGCTGGTGGCTGCAGGCAAGCGTGGGGGACACGGCCCTGCCTCCTTGGGGCACAGCTCGGCACAGATGGCAGCCAGGTCCTGCATGCAGAGCAGCACCTGCAGAGATGGGAGCCTGATGCCACAGCCATCCAAAGGTGTGGATGTCCCCGCGTGTCCCCCCAGCCCCATCACCCAGGGCAGAGGGCTGCACTGACCGTGTCCAGCTGGGCCTCGGTGTCCTCCAAGGCTACGTCCGTGGGGACCTTGAGCTGCGCGGTGGCGAGTTGGAAGAGGTTTAGCACGGCCAGCTTGATCTGCCCCAGCAGCAGGGTCTTCTGGGTGACCGTGCTCTGGATGTGGGCCCAGCGGGACTCCTGGGGGACAGTGACAGAGAGCTCTAGGTCTCCTACAGCCACTGCCTTGTGTCCCCTGCACCCCCCCAGCCAGAATGGGGGACCCAGAAGTCCTGGCTGTGTCCCCCCAGTTGCTGATGATGCTTTCTAGGCACTCCCAGCTCATCCCAGGGGGTGCCACCTGATTTCCCCCCACCACCACCTTGGGCATCTGCAGCAGGTTTGGGGGCTGTTCTGCTGCCCCTCTCCCTTGGGCACAGAATCAGACTCACAGAATCTTCTAGGTTGGAAGGGACCTTTAAGATCATCTTGTCCAACCGTCAACTCAACTGACAAAAATAGACACCCACACAACAAACAAGGAGGATCATCACTAAACCATACCTCCCAGCACTACATCAACCCCTCTTTTGAACACCTCCAGGGATGGCACCCCAGGTCCCTCCTTACCTGCTGGAGCATGTCATGGTGGGCAGCCTCCAGGCGTGCACGGAGCTGGGTCAGCTCGTCCTGGGTGCGCAGGAGCTCGCTGCTGGCCTCCTCCTGGTACTCCCGGAGCAGTGCCCGGCCCTGGGCCAGCTGCTCCTGCCTGGCTTCTGCCTGCTGTGCCAGGGCTGCCCGTGTCTCCACCAGCGCCCCAAAATGGGCCAGCATGGCCGGGATGTCCTGGAACTGGGCAAGAGGAGGGGCTGAGAAGCTGCAGGGGTTTGGGGGGCTGCTGTTCTGCACAGGGCTGAGCCCCCACAAGGGGCTTGGGGACACGCAGGGTGGCACGGCAGGATGGGTGGTACCCTTACCTGCCCCATCCTGGCCAGCACGCCCTGCAAGTAGTCCTCAAAGCCACGGAGGCTCCGCAGGCGCCGGGCCAGGCGCTCCCGGAGCTGCAGCAGCCCCTCCAGCTCCTGGCGCAGGCGGGTGGTCTCAGCCTCCTGCCTCGCCACCTTCGCCCGCTCCTCCTCTGCCCGCCGCAGTGCCCGCTCCTCCCTCGCCGCCGAAGCCTGTGGCACGGGGACAGGGTCAGCGTGGCCACCCATGGCCAGCCCAGCCCCCCACAGCCCCTTCCCCACCTTGAGGAAGGCATCGAATTTGAGGACGACGTGCCGGAGCTGCTCTTCCCGCTGTCCCAGCTGCTGCCGGCGCTGCGCCAGGCGCTCCATCCTCTGCCCAAACTCCTGCGGGACCCCCGGCTGCTGAGAGCATCGCCCCAGGCAGCGACGGGCACCATCTGGGGACGTGCCCACCAGGTGCTTGTCCCCCACAGGGGCACACAGAAGGGCTGGGGGTCCCCCTTACCTCCCGCTGGCTCTGCAGCGCCCGCTCCACCTCTGCCATCTCCCGCCTCTTCTGCAGCAGGCGCGTGGAGGGCAGCAGCATGGCAGTGTCCCACGCTGGCACCGTCCTGCTATGGATGACACAGAGGTCGTCATCGTGACCTGGTGGGGACAGCCCAAGCAGGGGCACCTGGCATGGCTGGGACCCCCCCAGGGACCACCGGTGCCTGGTGGGGCTCAGGACAGGGGGGCTGACCCGCTCTCCCCTCACTCAGAGACCCCCAGCCCCACCGCAGCACCCCAGGGATGGACATGGGGGTCCCAGGGGGGACATGGGACAACCTCAGCTTTCTGATTAGACCCCAGAGAATCCCCTGCCTCCCCCCAACCCACAGAAGGGCAACGGGCTCTGAGGTTCCCCGCTTCTGTAGGACCCCCCCAGGGACCACCGGTGCCTGGTGGGGCTCAGGACAGGGGGGCTGACCCGCTCTCCCCTCACTCAGAGACCCCCAGCCCCACCGCAGCACCCCAGGGATGGACATGGGGGTCCCAGGGGGGACATGGGACAACCTCAGCTTTCTGATTAGACCCCAGAGAATCCCCTGCCTCCCCCCAACCCACAGAGGGGCAACAGGCTATTGAAGTTCCCCGCTTCTAGGGTGGCAGCAGGAGCTCTGCTCCCAGGGCCGGGGGGGGGACCTGCGTGGAAGCCACCCAGGAGTGTGACAGGCAGCACGTTGTCACCTGGCACCTCTGGATGGGGCACAGATGGAGTCTTGACAATCACCAGGGTGCCCTCTCCTCCCTGGGTGCCCAAGTTGGGGACACACCACAGCCTGAGGACCCAGCACCCACCCAGTGACACCCACCCTGGCAGCAGCACCCCAAGGACCCAGCGGTGGGAGACACCCGGGGACACAGGACATGCTGGCCCCACTGCCATGGGGTGGCAGCAGGAGCTCTGCTCCCAGGGCCGGGGAGGGGACCTGCGTGGAAGCCACCCAGGAGCGTGACGGGCAGCACGTTGTCACCTGGCACCTCTGGATGGGGCACAGATGGAGTCTTGACAATCACCAGGGTGCCCTCTCCTCCCTGGGTGCCCAAGTTGGGGACACACCACAGCCTGGGGACCCAGCACCCACCCAGTGACACCCACCCTGGCAGCAGCACCCCAAGAACCCAGCGGTGGGAGACACCTGGGGACAGAGGACATGCTGGCCCTGCTGCCAAGCCCTGGCTCACCTCCAGCCAGCAGCACCCACCGGGGGGAGGACAGGGGAGGGGGTCTCACTCACCGCAGCTTGTCCCGGAAAGCCTTCTGCAAATACTCCTCCAGGTTGAAGGCCATCTCGCCCGGTGCCTCCTCCTCCTTGCCGAGGGGCCGGCACAGACGAGCCGGGCCGTGGGGAAGCCGAGATGGCGGCAGCACAACAGCAGGGTGTTGCCAGGGGCAGCCAGAGGCTCCCACAGCTCCCTGGGATTTCTCCAGCATCGCTGGTGAGAGCGGAGGGAGCCGGGCACAGGGACCTGCGTGCAGGTCGGTCCCACTCACAGCCCCCTAGCCACACTCCAGCCCCTCAGAAACCTCCAACCAGAGACCACCGCGCACAACCGGTCCCCAACCGATGTCCCACCAAGTGCCCAGGTTCCCCTGTACCTCCTCAGATCTCCTCCACCTCACGCCGTTCTTACCCACACCCCAGGGAGGGCTCAGACCCCCAGTGCATACAGTGCCCCAGGAATGTCTCCCACCCACTCCACCTGCCCTCGGGTCCCCTCCGTCTCTCCCGTGTGCCACCAGGTCCCCTCCACTCCCCCCATGTGGGTGCTCACATCCCCCCGTTGTCCCCCACACGCACTTGATCCCTCGTGCGCTCACTTCTCCATCACCCTCCACGTGCTCCTTCACCCCCAACTCGACAGTTTGTTCCCCTCCAGCACACTCAGAGCCCTCCAACCTCCACCCTCCATCCCACCACGATGAGGACAGGCTGAGAGAGTTGGGGGGGTTCAGCCTGGAGAAGAGAAAGCTCCAGGGAGACCTCTGAGCCCCTTCCAGTCCCTAAAGAGGCTCCAGGAAAGCTGGGAAGGGACTCTGGATCAGGGAGGGAGCCACAGGACGAGGGTGAAGGGTTTGACACTGCAAGAGGGGAGATGGAGCTGAGCTGTGGGGAAGAACTGGTTTGGTGTGAGGGTGGTGAGAGCCTGGCCCAGGTTGCCCAGAGAAGCTGTGGCTGCCCCATCCCTGGAGGGGTTCAAGGGCAGGTTGGAGGGGGCTTGGAGCAACCTGGTGTGGTGGGAGGTGTCCCTGCCCAGGGCAGGGGGTGGCACTGGGTGGTCTGTAAGGACCCTTCCAACCGGAACCATTCCATGATCCCACCCTGCTCTGTCTGGCCATTCCCACCCATCCATGCCAATCTCCCACTTCTCCCCCTGTGCCATATTCCCCACTCCTCTTCACTGACCATGATGGTGCCTTCTCAACCTCTCCTTTACCTCCCCAGGGCGCTCAGATTGGACCTGTCCCTCCATCCCTCCTGCCCACTCTGGCCCCACCGTTACCCACCCCACAGTCCCCCCCTACAGCTGTCCTGACCCCCTCCCTGAGGATCCTCCTCTCTTCCCTGTGTAATTCCTGCCTAGTTCCCCCCTCCACGCTTTGAGACCTCCCCCTCAAAACCCCACCGCGAGGTACAGGTTAACTCCCAGCTTAGATACAGAGCAACATTTCACACAGACTTGGAGAAAAAAAAGATATTTATAATAAAAAACCCAATTAAAGCCTCCCAAGAGTCAGCTGTCCTGACCCCCTCCCTGAGGATCCTCCTCTCTTCCCTGTGTAATTCCTGCCTAGTTCCCCCCTCCACGCTTTGAGACCTCCCCCTCAAAACCCCACCGCGAGGTACAGGTTAACTCCCAGCTTAGATACAGAGCAACATTTCACACAGACTTGGAGAAAAAAAAGATATTTATAATAAAAAACCCAATTAAAGCCTCCCAAGAGTCAGCACCACCCACGTCCTGCCCGTGCACCAGTTGTTTGTCTCGTTATCCCGGGGCCACGGTGGCCCCATGGCAACTGTCTCCATCTCACTCCCCACACTCCCAGTGCTGCTGATGGCAACTGGGACACCGTACTGGTGTCTGAGTCCGCCACAGGCATCGAGGTGAGCGGGCAACTGGGACCCACCTCCCTGGTTCTGCCTGCGCTGGGTGTTAAAAAGGACACCCGAGGCAAAGGGGAAGATGAAAAGAGGAGAAATGGAGAAACAGGGCTGGGGACAGATGGGGTGAGAGCTGGGGAAGGGGCCAGTGGAGGAAGATGTGGGGATGCCCTGACCACACCAGCCTGCTGAGGGACACCAACGGCCCGCTCAGCACCACCCACGTCCTGCCCGTGCACCAGTTGTTTGTCTCGTTATCCCGGGGCCACGGTGGCCCCATGGCAACTGTCTCCATCTCACTCCCCACACTCCCAGTGCTGCTGATGGCAACTGGGACACCGTACTGGTGTCTGAGTCCGCCACAGGCATCGAGGTGAGCGGGCAACTGGGACCCACCTCCCTGGTTCTGCCTGCGCTGGGTGTTAAAAAGGACACCCGAGGCAAAGGGGAAGATGAAAAGAGGAGAAATGGAGAAACAGGGCTGGGGACAGATGGGGTGAGAGCTGGGGAAGGGGCCAGTGGAGGAAGATGTGGGGATGCCCTGACCACACCAGCCTGCTGAGGGACACCAACGGCCCGCGCTCGTCCACAGGGCAACCAGGACATGCTTGATGTCCAGCTCCACGTGCTTCTGCAGGAAGGGATGGGATCTACGTGCCACGCGTATCTTCTTCCTTCCTTTCCTGTGGAGAGACCCTGCTGTGCTCCTCGCCATCGTCACCTACACAGGGCACACAGCAGCAGCTCAGCAAGGGCCAACCAGCCAGACAGGAGTCCCTCCCTCCCCCAGCAGCTGAGGAAGACCCAGAGATGAGCTCCTGACCCAAAACTCGGCCCAGGGCAGGCACCAGGGCTCACCTTCCATAAGGCAGTTGAGGTAAGCAGCTGGGACGCTGCTCCCGTTGACAAGTGCCACTGCTTTGTGCTTGGTGGAGCCGTTCATGGTCTCCTCTTCCCCCTTCCCCTCATCCTCATCTTCGGAGTCCACCAGCACTAAGACATCACCCAAGTCCTGGTTCCTGTGAACAGCAGAGCAAGCAGAGGTGGGCTGAAAGGCCCGTCAGCCTGTCCTGACCCCTCCAGCCTGCTCCTCCCCTGGCTTCAACAATCCCCTGCATCAAAACAACCCATTTTGATGGAATCTTCCAATCCTGCACCAACCGTGTCCAAAGAACAGCATGTTTCAGACCCTGCTGGCAGCAACACCACCACCAGCGCTCTGCACCACTTCCCATGCTTCCTCCAAAGTCCTCCAACCACTTCACAGATATTCAAGTACTGAACCACACAAGCTCCTCCTGAATAGAGTTACTCTTCCCTCCCACACAGAGGGGGGAAATGGAGGCCCTCAGAAAAGAGTCTTCCCTTCTGTGAGAACAGAACCAACAGGGGCAAGAGAAGGGAGCGGGGCCAGGAGGGGTGCAAGGAGGAAACGGAAAAGGAATCTGGTGCAGCTGAACTCTGAGAAGGGACTTGTTCACGTGGAGCTACCAGACATCCCTCCTGAGGGGGAAGGACATGGGCAAACACCCACCCAGCATTGCAGAAGATCACCATTTCTATTTACCTTTGAAGTCTCCGGGCTCAGCTGCACCGAAGAGCTGCTCTCTCCTGCCCAGCCTCCTCCCACATGAACCCCAAAGAGATGCCAGCCCCGCTCTGACACCAACTGCTCCCCTCTCTCCCCACCCTCCTGGTCCCTCACCCACGCCAAGTCTCACCCAGCCCCACCATCCCCTTCCCTCAGGAGGAGAAGCTCCCACCTAAGGCCAGCTTTACTGCGGGGACACCTCCTGCCTCCAAGGGGGATCCCTGCCCTACAGGGAGGTCACCTCTGCCAGGAGATGGACTAGTGAGGCCATGGAGGACTTTGCTGAGGAAAATCAACACTCACCTGAATGCAGCACCTGAAAGGGAGAGAAGGGAAGGAAAAAAGAGTGTTAGTGTCCCCAGTGCAGTCCCCTGGGCAGCACACTGCTGGTTCTACTGCCCAATCCCTGCCAATTCTGCCTGCAGCCACGTGTAGAGGCATGGACGTGAAGGTGACCTGCCCACGTACACAAGGAGAGTGTCAGGGATCACAAAGAAAGGGCAGAAAGGCCATCAGAGCACAGCTCCCTGGAGAGGGCAAGGGGAAGGAGCCCGAAGCACTCAGCTGGGGAAGGGCCTTGTGTTTCCAACCCAGCTGCCTCCAGGGCTGATGGAATTTTGATCAGGAGCAGGATGAGACCCAGGGGCCAGGGTGATCACCAGTGGCCGATTTCAGAGCACCAGAAGGGACAAGGAGGGTAGGGATAAAACCAGGCCACCCCAGGAAGGAGCAACCCCCTCCCTGGCTGGCGCAGAGGAGAGCTCCTACCTCTCAGGCACAGGAGGGGATCATAGTACAAGATGACGATGACGACGGTGAGAACAGCTACCAGGGACAGGACCAGCACTGCAGCCACAACCCCAACAATGTTCACCGGCTCTGTGGAGAGAAGAGGAGACACAGCTTGTCACTGGATCACGGATGGATGAGGAGATCTCCGTGCAACCAACACAGCAGGTCTCGGCGCTGTCTTGGATCCCATTTCCCATCATTGCAACAGGCCCACCAGCCCAAGGGGGAGAGTTTCAGTCACTCGTGCTTCATTGACGTGGAAAAAACCGTAACAAGGCCGTCATTTCTGTGCTCACATGCATTTAGTGAAAGCAACTCAACCCCTGCCCGTTGCACCTTGAGCCTTGGAGGTGCTCCTCTGCACCCACAACCTACAGGACAGACCAAGGATGCTCCTCTCTCAGGCCTGTCATGTTGAGGTGAGGGGAATCAGGGCGTTTCACCCTGGGATCCAGTCCTCCATCTAGGTGAGGGGCCTGGAGAACAAGTCCTATGAGGAGAGGCTGAGGGAACTGGGCATGTTTAGTTTGGAGAAGAGGAGGCTGAGGGGAGACCTCATTGCCCTCTACAACT